GCTAGGGGGAGCCAGTGTTCAGCGTTAATCCTTTCCCCCTGATATTACACCCCCCCTAATAGAAACTGGGAATGTGCTGCTATTATTGGGGGCATGTTTATCTCTACTGTCGCTTTTCAGGGCGCTTGCTCTTCGTCCTGCGCAGGCTTTTGCTCCTGCTCCTGCTGCGTCTCCTGCTCTCGCTCCTGCGCCTGCTCCTGCTGTTGCTCTTGTTTTTCCTCCCGCTTTTGCTCTTAGTGTTGCTCTGACTCCAGCTCTTGCTCTTGCCTTTCTTCTTGCTCCTGCTTTTGCTCCGGACCCCCCCCCCCCAATGCAAATCAGGTTGTAAAGGGCAGGGGTGATTACGGGAGGATTCTCCGAAGTGTGTGTTTTATTATAAAGGGGGTTGATTAAGGGTTTGATTTATCAGAGTGCAAGGGTTTCAAGATAGGGCTTGGGGTTAGGGATCTAGGCCTTGGGGGCTTGGGGTGTGGGTGCAGGGTATTGCAAGTGTTGAGGCTGCAGGGTTGTTCAGAGCCTGGACATGATTTGCCTGAGAAGCATTGAGAGTGCAGGGTTGTGGGCTAACCCCTTGGAACGGAGAGATTACGAGAATGACATCCGTCCTTTGGATCGTTGAGCGGGTCTTGGGAGGGCCCTAGTCCGAGAGCGACGTGCTGTGTTGGGTTTGCGGTTCGAGGTGCTAACTGGGAAAGCGACTCACGTCCCCTCCTTATCGCAAAACGTAAACCCCAGAATTCCACTTGTAAACCGTCGAAACCCTAGCCCCTAAACTCCCAAAGTCCCAATCCCTAAGATCCCGCTTTAGCTGCCAAGTCACCTGCGGCTCTGAGAGGGCTTTCTCCAACTCTTCGCGGCCAATACATCCGGGAAGACTCCTGTCAAAGATTGGTTTCTGATGATTCGAAGCAGGTTTCGTATGCAAAACATATGCGTTTTCCATGCACGACGTTTGTGCCTTTTGTAGGTGCTGTATCGGGTACAGGCTCTACTTTGGCCTAGGCGTCTCGTCCTGCGCTGTGTTTCAGGATTTTGCGTTTATTATGCGGCGGTAGCGGCCTTGGGATGTAGGCCTTCGGGTGTTTTGCATGTCGACCCTTATCGTTCAAATCCCCTAAACTTGAACCCCGAGACCCAGGACCCTAAACACTAAACTCGCCGTAAAGACCCTTTTCTATGGGCCTTAACAATTAGAATGGGATTTGGGGGCCCTCTATACTAAATTTATAATAAGGAATCTCCCCCAAAATAGTAAACCCCTCTTAGGGCTCCGGGTGTGCTCAGGAGCTTCTGCGACTTTGCAGAGTTTTCCACATCTGGGAGGCGCTGTCTGATTGGTGCGCAGAGAGATCAACACCCTGGACTGCCTAAGATCCCTGCTTTGGGAATATTCCCGAACATTTAGGGCGTCTAAATATGATGATCCAAGGACTTGCCTCTTTGGTGTAGCATTGGAAAACTCCGTTACTGGGAAAGAGCGTGTTGGGGTCAGATCGACAGCAACCCTGCTCTGAAGCGGCTCTTTGCCCCTTGCTTCTCGGATTGAGTGTAGGATTATCTAACTTTTGTTGCGGGTGCAATCTGCGCCCTAAGGTAAAGTATTCGGACTACTCCACTTAACAAGGAATTGATGACATGTTCGAAGAAGGTTCCAGAAATTGGATTCACCACTTCGACCCAAGCTTCGCTTCTTGAGCAATAGCAGCATACAGAAAGAAACAGAGTGCCCCGCCTTCCATATTGAAAGAACCATTCTTCCAGGTGCCGCGTCACGTTCTCGTACCTGAGAGCCTTTCCAACCTCCTGATTCTTCTGCTCCTTCTGCTGAGAAGCCATGAAAGAGTCGCTGATAACACTGGTGATGAGCCCGATCACGGCGAAGCAGCAAAGCATCATATAGATGATGATGAGAGGGACCACAACTGTGCTGGGATAGACTCCGCTGAGAACCGCGGCGATGTGGTCCCACCCAGAGAGCGTCTGGATGGTGAACAGGGTTTGCCTTGATCAGATACCGTGAACATGAGGGCGCAGCATCCCCGTGAGGGTGACCATGATGACGATGATAGCAAGGGCGAGGTGGGCAATGGCGGGGACGCAGAGAATGAACATCCTGATTACGCAGGTGATGTTCCAGCTGCATCTGCTGCTGCCCATGACCGTGATGAGCGATGACGACGGTCATGATGGTGGTGGTGGTGGTGATGATGATGATGATGATGGGCATTGCGACCATGACATCGCACAACACGAGCCTGAAGCCCGCGCCCCGGACCCTTTTACTGGCTAGCGGCTAAAACAACTCCGCATATCCAGGCTCAGCCGAAAAACAATAAGTGCGGCAACTGCCCGAGAACCAGACCGCTTGGAGGACTCGGCTAGAGGGTTTCATGAGCTGCAGGGTAGCAGCTAATTACTTGTAAAATGCTGCAACTCCAACAAGCCACGCGAGAGATTTCTTAGCAGAGGCGACGAGCCGAGTGGCATGGAACGGCCGATGGATCCGAACCAAGTTTCGATATCCTCCTCTGTCTCGTCGACGGCCCATGGGGTAGCCCTGGCGTTCTTAGAGCTTATGATCTAGGTGTATGGCTTCAGATTTACGGCTTTCTTGTAGTGATCATGAATGAGTTTTCGGACACAGAAACTGTAGGTTCGATTGTGCTCACCGAGACTTCCATGAAAGTGCGGCGCAAGACTGCTTCATATCACGAGAATGTCCAGATCTCATGGGCGATGAGCTTTGCTATTACTTTCTTCCTTGCAGAAAAACCAATGCTCGTTGTCCCTCAAAGTTTGAAATGCGATGTTACAGGCTGGCGCAAGGGTCAGTCTGAAAAATGCATGCCGACGAGAACGGCTAGCTCTTGATCGCGTGCTTGTGGGCTTTGGGGGCTTAGGATTTTCAGGATTTAGGATTCTCCAAGACGTGCTACAGCAGTGCAACACCACGTGAACCAGCTTGGAATCTTACAGCGTTTTGGGGGAAGGGTCCCACAACAGGCTTTGGACATTTTTCTGTCTTCATTTCAGTATACTAGGGAGCCCCAGCGAATTGCAGTTCATTACATACTCAGCACCTTAGGTGGCGACCCTCGATTCTATGATGCCGAATGATGCCTCTGTCCCACGAGGGTCGTGAGGATAATGGCAAGGCCGAAGTTTAACACGCCAACGACCTTAGACGGTTCTGCAGCAGCCGAGTGCTGCTGCTACAGGTACTGAGCAGGCATGCCGAAGCGTTCTTCGAGGTGTTTTGGAGGCTACATACAGCCTTCGGGATTTCGTGTTCTTGAGGTCTAAGAGTCTAAACTTTATGCTTTACATGCGGGGTTCTGGAATGGCACCCTTGCGCAGTCTCAAACTTCGTCTGATTTATGATGCGGCACTCAAGTAGCTTCGTTCAGACCTGCAGGCCTGCAGGGGTAGGGGTGGGGTAGGAGAAGCAACAGCAGCAGAAACGGTGTTCGTCAAGACAGTCCAGACACCGCTTCGCTCCACCTGGTTCTTTGGAGCTAAGATCATGGTAAAAGGCTTTGGAACGAGATCCTGGATAGTTCCACGAGTACCCGAGGTTTCAGTTCCGAGGCGCTGACTAAACCGACCAGCACCACAACACCAAATGCCTTCACGACGGCGCGCCCGATAATTCGCAGCGGCTGGCCTCAGATTAGATGCAACCAGGCACAACAGAACAGACCGTTGCACAATTTGGGCTTGCACAACATCTGAGGCTGCGTCAAACTTGGAAGATCTTCAACAGCCGCAACACTCGCAACAGGCGTAGGAAAGGAAGCACCTTGGATGCATTTAAGGGCCAAATTCCTATAAAGCCTGAACCGGTAACAGTAAAGCCTGAACACTTGAGCCGATCACCCGAAACCAACCTTGCAAGCTACTGAAACCATCGCTGACCCTCAGGTTCAACAGGAAAAAACCAACCAAGCCCTGAACCCCAACATGCACTAAATGCTTATTATGCTTGACCCTTTTCGAAACATCAGAGGTAAGTTGGGGTTTTCAGACCACTTTCCGATCGGGTCGGTTCTGGGGTTTGGGGATCCGCAGAGTTCGTGGTTTGGAGGATGGGATAGGTTGAGCATCGGCCGTTTGCTGTAGAGGCTACATGGTTCGGTGTTTACGGGTTTCGAGCTTGTTTCGCCCAACACCCCAACGTACGTATGCCTAACATCTCGCAGGTGGTTTTTCGAGCTCGCTTCGCCCAAAGCCACAACGTACGGATGTCTAAGATCTCGCAGGTTTTACCTACGTGTGCTCCAACACCGAAGCAATACAAGGAATGACCGGAGCAGGCCAAGACCACAACAACCGGGCAACAGCTTGGCGTGGAGTTTAGTGCTCAGGATTGACAATTTACGAAGTTTAATGGAATGCGGTGTGCCCAAGAACTAGTTCAGGGATGTTCAGGGCTTGAACTTCCCTGAACCCTTAAACCCTAACTCAGCAAGCCGTGCGATCTAGGCCACGAAATAGGCTGAGGTTGCTGGGATCCAATCTAAAGCGTTGCAAGCGACCGTACTTCTCCTTTACAAAGGGTCCCTTCTTACAACGATATCCCAGCCTTGGACCTTACACCCTTAGCACTACAACACGAAATTCACTGCATCCCAAGACCAAAATCCTGAAACCTCACGCCCTAAACCCTCAATGCCAAAAGCCAGGAGCCAAAGCACCGACTGCCTTTCCATCTCTGCATCCAGGAAAAAGGGTAGGCTTACGTCAGCCAGGCCGGTCGTCACGACCTGTTGGAGAGCCGGGGCTGGCAGAGAAAAACGAAAACAATGGATACGGACTGCTTAAGCAGTACCCATAAACATGCAAAACCACTTAAAACTTAAGCAGCACTGATTTTGATAAGCGTACCATGCTCGAGTTAGTCCGAATATTCACTCTATCTTAAGCCCGAGATCCCACAGCGCTACAGCTCTCAGATCCAGAGCCTCAAATCCTAAACCTTGAAACCTAAAACCCAGAACCATAAAGCCCAAACCGGGCAATCCTAAGCTGAAAAGCGTGAAACTCCAAACCTCCAAAGCCCAAACCAAGCGCAGATCTCAGGGCTCCACAACCATGTCTAGGAGCATCCACGGGTATCTGCCTGAAGAACAGATTCTTTGGGACGGGGTTTCAGGTTCAGGGTTTCTGGTTTGGGTTTCGGATGTTCTGGAGTCGGCATTGGGTTGCAGGTTGTATGTCGCTGAATCCCGCTAACACATGGGTTGAAGCGTGTAGGCCATATCTCTGAACCCTGCCGGATGGTCTGCCAGTGAGCGGTCTCTGGTCTCCTGCCGGCGGCTATGGTGGTGGTGATCGTGGTGATGTAGTGGTCGTGGTGCTGGCCCCTCGATCGTAGTGGTCGTGGTCGTCTGGTCGCGTTCTGGACAGGGATGTCATCGTGGTAGTGCTGTTTGTGCAAAATTGAAGGTTCTGGGTCTTTGCATTCGAGCCATGTACATCTGCAAACTTTACATCCCCCACGACGCAAGGCTGCAAACTTAAAACTCCAAGTGCTAGAGCCAAACAAACCACTCTCGAGCCTTGACCCAAGAAGTTTGCCTTTTTCTTTCAGGGTACATGTTTTCAGAGTGTGCAAAGCCCCCACCGGAAAACCAACACCGGAAAACCAAGTCTTGTAGAACAAGCTAGGCAAACAAAGAGTCTAATCCCTTCCCCCAAATATTAAACAGACCCCTAATTATAAAAACACTTTTCCCCCGATCCACCCGGAAGTAGCACCGCCCTTTAAACCCTAATTTGAATTAGGGGGAAGGTTCAGGGTCTATAGATTGAGGGTTTGGGGTGGTGGCTTTGGCTGAGTTCTCTGTCTTTTTTCGGCTGCTGCGGTCGGTCTGCAGCTGTGCTGTCTGCGAGTCTGGCTGTCCGAGCCTGTCTCGCTGTTATACAGCCAAACAGCAAAAGAAGATCGGCTGCCAGTCTGGTGCTGTCTGTCTGCCTAACTAGGGCTCAGGGTTTAATCTGGTACTACAAGCAAGCACCATGCTGGCAGCATCCAAAACAAGGTACTTCCAGTGTTACGGTTGTACTACAATCCAGAACACTCCCTGCCAGCATCCGAAACAAGGTACTTCCAGTACTAAGGTTGTACTACAATCCAGAACACTCCTGCCAGATCCGAAACAAGGCACTTCCAGTACTAATGCCGTGCTACAATCCAACACAATCCAGCCAGCATCTGAAAAGGAGGCACTTCCAGTACTAAGGTTGTACTACGATCAAGCACAGTGTTGCCAAATCGGAAACGAGGCACCTCCAGTACTAATCTGGTACTACAAGCAAGCACCATGCTGGCAGCATCCAAAACAAGGTACTTCCAGTATTAAGGTTGTACTACAATCCAGAACACTCCTGCCAGCATCCGAAACAAGGCACTTCCAGTACTAATGCTGTACTACAATCCATGGCAACCCAGCCAGCATCCGGAAGGAGGCACTTCCAGTACTAAGGTTGTATTACGATCATGCACAGTGTTGCCATCATCGGAGTTGAGGCAGCCTGCGGAACGACTGTGCTACAGTCCATCATGACCCTGCCAATATGCGAAATGAGGCGCAGCCACAGCCATTAACAGAGCCGGATGTCCCACGAGAGCCGGATGTGCCCCCAGACCCCAGACCGCGAGAGCCGGATGTCCCACGACAGCGCGAAGCCTCCACAGAGCCGTGGGTGACCCCAAAATCTCTATTCCAGGTTGGGAAAGGGACCAAATGACACAAGCGGGGTTTGAGCCCACGACCTTCCCCAGAAGCCCTGAAGAGCCGCAACCTTGCCCACTAAGCTATGACGGGATAGATGCTTGGGAGGGCAGCCGCCTCTCCAGGCGTTTTGAACACCGTTGCGATCTCAATTCCTGGCGGCCCTTCGCCGCCCGGAATCGAGCCAAAAACCGCCAAAAGCAGAACCAAACCCGCCCAAATCCGTGCAAAACCCACCGAACCCTCCCAAACCCTCAGGACCTGCTGCCATGTACTACAATCCAGCACAATCCGGCCAGCATCCGAAAGGAGGCACTTCCAGTACTAAGGTTGTACTACGATCAAGCACAGTGTTGCCAACATCGGAAAAGAGGCAACTCCAGTACTAATCTGGTACGACAAGCAAACACCACGCTGGCAGCAGCCAAAACAAGGTACTTCCAGTGCCAAGGTTGTACTACAATCCAGAACACTCCTGCCAGATCCGAAACAAGGCACTTCCAGTACTAATGCCGTACTACAATCCAACACAATCCAGCCAGCATCCGAAAGGAGGCACTTCCAGTACTAAGGTTGTACTACGATCAAGCACAGTGTTGCCAACATCGGAAACGAGGCGCCTCCAGTACTAATCTGGTACTACAAGCAAGCACCATGCTGGCAGCATCCAAAACAAGGTACTTCCAGTATTAAGGTTGTACTACAATCCAGAACACTCCTGCCAGATCCGAAACAAGGCACTTCCAGTACTAATGCCGTTCTACAATCCAACACAATCCAGCCAGCATCCGAAAGGAGGCACTTCCAGTACTAAGGTTGTACTACGATCAAGCACAGTGTCGCCAAATCGGACACGAGGCACTTCCAGTACTAATCTGGTACTACAAGCAAGCACCATCCTGGCAGCATCCAAAACAAGGTACTTCCAGTATTAAGGTTGTACTACAATCCAGAACACTCCTGCCAGATCCGAAACAAGGCACTTCCAGTACTAATGCCGTGCTACAATCCAACACAATCCAGCCAGCATCCGAAAGGAGGCACTTCCAGTACTAAGGTTGTACTACGATCAAGCACAGTGTTGCCAAATCGGAAACGAGGCACCTCCAGTACTAATCTGGTACTACAAGCAAGCACCATGCTGGCAGCATCCAAAACAAGGTACTTCCAGTATTAAGGTTGTACTACAATCCAGAACACTCCCTGCCAGCATCCGAAACAAGGCACTTCCAGTACTAATGCCGTACTACAATCCAACACAATCCAGCCAGCATCCGAAAGGAGGCACTTCCAGTACTAAGGTTGTACTACGATCAAGCACAGTGTTGCCAAATCGGACACGAGGCACCTCCAGTACTAATCTGGTACTACAAGCAAGCACCATGCTGGCAGCATCCAAAACAAGGTACTTCCAGTACTAAGGTTGTACTACAATCCAGAACACTCCTGCCAGATCCGAAACAAGGCACTTCCAGTACTAATGCCGTGCTACAATCCAACACAATCCAGCCAGCATCCGAAAGGAGGCACTTCCAGTACTAAGGTTGTACTACGATCAAGCAAGCACCATGCTGGCAGCATCCAAAACAAGGTACTTCCAGTGTTAAGGTTGTACTACAATCCAGAACACTCCCTGCCAGCATCCGAAACAAGGTACTTCCAGTACTAAGGTTGTACTACAATCCAGAACACTCCTGCCAGATCCGAAACAAGGCACTTCCAGTACTAATGCCGTGCTACAATCCAACACAATCCAGCCAGCATCCGAAAGGAGGCACTTCCAGTACTAAGGTTGTACTACGATCAAGCACAGATTATAATTGCATGACTCAGCAACTGCTCAATTGAGCCGCATGAAAAGCTTTCTTAGCCAAGCCCTTATTGAAGCCTAGTTTTTTAATGCGTATTTACGGATTTAGTGTGTATTTGCACGGATTTGTGTATTTGCACGGATTTAGTGTGTATTTGCACGGATTCAGTGTGTATTTGCACGGATTCAGTATGTATTTGCAGGGATTCACGGATTTAGATGTATTTGCACGGATTCCGTGTGTATTTGCACGGATTTGGTGTGTATTTGCACTCACGTTCTGTGTAGTTGCACGAATTTAGTGTGTATTTGCATGGATTTGGTGTGTATCTATACGCACTTAGCGTGTATTTGCACGGATCGTGAGTATTTGCACGCAGTATTTGGTGTGTAATTACAGGGATTTTAATGTGATTTACACGGATTTAGTGTGTATTTGCACGGATTCCGCGTGTATTTGCACGCATTTACTGTGTGTTTGGTGTGTTGTTAGAAGGATTTAGTGTGTGTATTTACACGTATTTAGCGTGTGTTTGCACGGATTCGGCGTGTATTTGCGCGGATTTAGTGTGCATTTGCATGGATTTGGTGTGTATTTGCACGCATTTCGTGTGTATCAACACGACTTTGGTATGCATTTGCACGAATTTGTATGTCTTTGCACGGATTTAGTGTGCATTTGCACGGATTTGGTGTGATTTGCAGCCCTTATAATAGCGTTTCTTAAGTCTCCAGAGAGCCCAGAGCTTCAGGTCACCCCAAAATCTCGATTCCGGGTGGGGAAAGGGCCCAAATGACACCGCCGGGGTTTGAGCCCGCGACCAGGAAGACTTTGGAGGCATACGTTTACCCATTAGGCCATGGCCAGATAGTTCTGGGGGCGGGCGGTTGCCTCGTAAGGGGATTTGGGCACGGTCGCAGGCCCAATTCTGGCGGTGTCCTTTTGGGCCCTTTCCCCATCCAGAATCGAAATTTTGAAATGACCAAAAACCGGCAAGAGCACAACCAAACCCGCCGAAAACCGCGCAAACCCACCAAAACCCACCCATTCCCACTTTCCCATGCCCCTTTGCCCAAATGCTATTGGTGCTGATGGCGATTGCTGCTACTGCTGCGACTGCTACCACTACTACTACTGCTATTTCTCCGACTACTACTACTACTACTACTACTACTGCTGCTGCTGCTGCTGCTGCTACTAGTACTACTACTGATCCTGCTGCTACTACTGCTACTACTTGTACTATTCCTTGTATTACGATGACGACGACTACTTCTACCACCACCACCACCACCACCAATTACCACTGCCACTAATTACCACTGCTGCTGCTGCTGTTCTTGTTGTCACTACAACAACAACCACTAGTACTACTACCACTGCGATGACTACGACTACTGTTACTTCTCACTAAATCTACTCCTCCTATTACGACGACAACTACGAACTGCTACCACTACCACAACAATGAGCGAGCGTGCATTGACCGGATGGAAGATGAGACATGGCTGCAATGCCTGCTCCAAACCTTCGACATCGACATCATCATTATCATTATAA